TAACACATCCTGTGCTTACTATGAATTGGGCATTAGTGCCAGGCAGCCTAAGATGAGCTAGATGGTCCAGCCTCTACCCTCACAGCCTAGACCACAGAGGAAGGGCAGTTAGAACAAATACTAAGAATAATGGACCCATTGCTTTTTAACACAATTTCTTTAATGAATCCTGGGGAATTTCATATCATCACCCTAATTATGCCCACCTCCCAGGTCCTCCATACCCTCCCCTCATCCCTGCAACACCCCCACAAAAGAAAACTAAAAACAAAACAAAGCAAGCAAACAAAAATAAAACAAAATTAAAAACCTCTTCATTCCTCCATCTTTCCCACCTCTTCATTTGCCCTGGTGGCATTGGAAGCTACAATGTGTCACATAGTATAGCCTTTTGTCCAATCAGCTTTACTTGCAAGTGTCCAATGCAATGAGTCATTGGTCCGGTTCAAGGCTTCTGGTTTCCAGCACACCATCATCAGTGGATCCCCACCCACACTCCTCTCTGATATCCTGCAGTCTTGAGTCAAGGAGATCCTGTGGGTTTCATTCCACAGGACCAGTCCCTTCATGTGCTCCAGTAGGTCATAGATGGGACACATGTTAGGGTGGCCAACCTTAGGCCCAGCTGTAGGATGGGTAGTAGCTGAGCTGATGAGTTGGGGCCACAGGGGCCACCCTCCTCAGGTAAGAAGGTGGAGCCAGCCCCCCATGCCCATGCCATCAGGCTCAGTTCTCCCTCTCCCATGTTGAAACGAGGGCCATCTCTCCTGAGTGTGGTGGCCAGCTCTCTTGTGAGTTTGGTGGCCAGCTCACTTGTTGTAGCTAGAGGCACAGCCCACTTTCCCAGAGACAGCAAAGGATGGAGCCAGCTCAGCATAACCCTCCGATTTCATCATGCATGGTTCCTATGGCTCACTGAGGTGACACAGGCCACCCCGGTAGACAGCTTAAGCTTTGGGAGTGCTGGTCCACCCTGAGCAAGGAGGGTCAGTAGCAAATTATTTCATCATAGTTTTATTGTTTATTTGTCTTTGTTTTGATTTAAAATATCTTAAACTAGATAGTCTTGTGATTTACAATTCAAATTAACATGGAAACTGAATTTAATTAGTTTCTTAGTTTGCAATTCTGTTTGAAAATGATTTGTGTGCTTTCAAAAATTTTAACGAGGTATCTAAGTAGCTATGCTGTGAATGGGTAGCAGTAGCATACAGGACAGCTAATAAGTACAAGTAAGCTATACATAAAGGGGCAACATTAACATGCAGGACATGAGGAACTGAACAGCATTTATCTAACACTAATGTAGAAAAACAGCTAGAGAATTATGTCACTACATGGTTTGTTTTCTAAAAGAATATATCACCAGGCCTGGTAGTGTGGGCCTATAACACAGCTCTTCAGGGGCCTGAAGCATGAGCCTCAAATGTCAAGGCCTGTGTGGCTACAAGGGGAGCTCAAGGCTTGCCTGGGAAGTTTAGTGAGACTCTGTCTCAAAATAAAAAGTAAACAGAGGATTGAGGTGTAAATTGGTGGAGTTAGAGAGCTTGCTTAGCCTGAACCAGGCCCTCAATTTACTCCCTGGCATTGTAAAACAGAAGGGAGGGAGGGATGGGGAAGGAGGGGAAGAAGGGAAGAAGGGAAGGGAGGAAACATAAAAAACCCACTTGATATTGTCTAGAAATTATCTAAATAGAGAAGTGATTTCCTGATCATTATGGACAGTATGACAAATGCTTATTATAGAAAAATGACCCAAAATATTAACAGGCAACCTAGCTCTGTCCAGATCCCCTAATTACATACTCAGGAACATGCACAATGGAAGGAGGAGTATCCAAGCACACATGTACAGATCCTGCACCCCAGGCACATGTATAAAAATCTTCATGTTCTACAACTAGTCAATCACCAACATCTTTCAGTTTTAACTACTAAATAATGTTTAGAGTCCTTTCTATACTAGCTCTAGACTGGTTCAAAGACTCCTTTTCCTTTCACCCCTAAAACAGGGTCTAGCTCTCAGCTCCTGCTCTAGCACCATGGGGAATGATGCCACAATGGTGATAATGGACTAAACTGAACTGTAAGCCAGCCCCAACTCAACATTTTCCTTTCTAAGAGTTGCCATGGCCATCGTGTCTCTTCACAGCAATAGAACAGGGTTTAAAACGGCCCCTTCCAGATTCCCAAGGATCCACTTAGCATGGGGACCATGACTGCTCCAAGTGCTACGTTGTCACTGGTTAAAGTCTACACTTTTCAGCACAGCACTAAGTTGCCTTCAACATTCCTTTCACCATGCATTCCAGCAAGACAAAACTGCATAGAGTTCCTTGAACAAGCAAGCGTTGCTTTGGATCTGTGCTGAACAGACCAAACTAGGATGTCATTGTGCCTGCCTGCCACACTACATGAAAACAACCCATACCGTGCTTTCAATCAAAGCTGCAGAGAGCAGGTTCTATTCTTGTTAGAAACCACATTGCCAACCATTTGTCCTTCATTCATTCCATGCGTGTGTATCAAAGGCCTAGTATTCCCAGAGATTCTAGGAAACAGCAATGGAAGGAACCAATTCTCAGTCCTGGAGTTCTCTCAGTCTAGTGTGGAGACTCCAGCAAATTTCCTACCTAAAAAACACCATCTAGGACTAATCAGAAAATTATTTTAAATTGTGCAAATGAAAGAGTCTTCATAAACCACTGTCTAAAGAGTCTGTCTGGACACTGTTATGACTCATTTTTCCTTTAAACAACAAATATGGCAGTGACTAACACAGTTGGAGCAATAGCTTAACTGCTCTAATTATGGATTTTTAGTAAATTATAGCTCTTTTAACTAGTAGAAAACCTTGTTATATACATGGAGTAAAGTTATATCCAAGTAATCCAAGTTAAATTAAGGACATAATAAGGTTAGATGCTCACAAATATAGAAGATTAAAGATGTCCAGAGATACCTGGTCCCTGCCTGCCCCCCCATCCCTCAGTATTCTCCTCACAATCAAGCCATAGTCACGCACGTGTGCAGCTGTCCTGATGCCACCACATGCTGACCCTCCATGGTCTTGTGCTGGCTTCTCTGAGTGTTCACACTCCCTTCTCCTCTGCTTAGAAACTAAGGCCAAAGAAGGCCTCTCTTCCCTGGTTGTCCATGCCCTTTGAGTCTTACAGCACGGTTCCACAGAATGTAAGGGCTAGGAAGAAGGGCCAGGGCTGCCTTGTTCAATCTGCTATCCCCAGCACCAGACACAAAAGTTATAATAAATACATGTTAACTGAGAAATGGTGCAATTCTACCTCAAAACTTACTGAGAAGAATTTAAAATGGACATATTACTAGAAAACAAACTTTGCCCACAGGCACAGCTGGTTACATTTTCTCTCTGATGACTATCTGTAATATTCCAGAATTTAAATTCTGAGTGTTAAGTCCGCAGTCAGATATGCACTTCCTTAGACCTGCAGTCCAGGACAGTGTTCAGCTGCTCTGACGGAGGGTGGCAGCGTGACTCATTTGAGATTGCCTGTGGTTAGCTCCCACAGCTGCTGTACCACTGTCCTTGTCAATTGCTTGCCTCTTAGATGAGAGTTTGACACAAAGGAAGGAAAAAAGCCTTCAGGAGATTTTCAACCATTTAGTGTTATTCTGTGTTTGGCATGGGTCTCTACAGCTCTCAAATGACAGGCTTTCTTCAGGGGAAAATAAAATCGAAGAGAACAGAGCTTGTGGTCTCCGTAGCTCTGGCTCTCCTTCATGGACCTGCTAGCCACTCCCTGGTGCCTCACAGTGACCACCAAGCTGCACCCTCGCTTACCTGAGGTCTCTGCAGAAAAGAAAGAAGGCTGAAGCATGGGTCTCTGAGTAAATGCCTGGCGGGGAAGCAGAATGTCTGTGGGGTTTTCTGGGACAGCGACCCTGAGACAGCCTCACAGGGTCATCCTCTGGCAGGACCCAAAGCAGCCCTGAGAAGTGGCCTTGGAGCCGGGATGAAGCAGACATTGGCCATCTACCTAGACTTGAAACTCGACATCATATGGCCTTAAGACATGAGTTCCTGCATGCACAGAAGATACCGCCAAGGAGACAAAACACAAACTGCACCACAAAGAACTGACTATAACACCAAAGAAGGGGGAGGAGACCATGGTACAGAGTGAAGGCTGGATCTAGATGCACTCATAAGTAAAGAAAGAAAATATCCAAGACCAGGGGTAGGCAAATCCTTCACTGGAAGCAGCTGACTGAAGGTTGGGAAAGGATGTCTGTGGGGCAATGAGAAGCAGGCAATGCACTGGGTTGGAGATGTATGTAGTATTCCACGGCTTCTCAGGGAAGACTTCAGACTAGTAACACGTGACTTAGTAAGCAGCTGGGGGTGGAGTCCTCACCTTACTGACTTTCCCTCCTATGGTACCAAATTTTGAAAGGAGTTCTTGTTTACATATACAGGTAAAGTCTTTCAGAAACTCCCTTCTCTCGTGGGGAGGAGCCGAGCCTGTGCTGGGTGGCAGGATGGGTTTGGTCTTTGAAGAGTAGCATCAACTGTTTTTGAGACATCAAAGTCTTGCCGGGACTCTTCTTAGACTTCAGCTTCAATCTCAAATGTGAAACTCACAGGAAAAATATATGTCGCCGTCTAAAGTATATCATTGATCATTGCTACACAGACCAAATATCTATGATAGAATGAATTTCAGACTATCATGTATTTGGTCTATCATGCCTCTCCTCAAAATACTGGATTTTGCTAATTTTTTTAAACAAAGAAATATGACAATTTATAAATAGCATCATTAATTACTATTCTAGGGACAGTATTCCTAAATTTTTCATTTGTAATCTAATCATTTAAGAAAGAAAAATATTATTCTCATTTTCTTGTAAACTAGAAAACAATATTACAAAAAACTTTAAAATATGTATATATATGTATGTGTGTGTGTATATATATATATACATATATACATATATATATATTTATATTTTTTATTTACCTCATTTGAGATGGGTGTTCCAGAAAGATCTATTGATATCAAGGATAGCATGCTTGCAATATATTCAATTGCCAGGTCAGTCAAATGTTCACAATTTCGTAAACTCAAATAGTGTAAATTAGGGCAGCTGAAAGAAAATGCCATGACAGATTAACCTCAGCTCTCAATCAACAATGCCAGTTTCCCCACTAAAAACTTTTTGAAGAGCAAATGGAGTGGATTTGCCTTTTCTCAGCCTAAATGTAGAAAACAGTTTGGCTGTTTTAACGTTTTGTTGATACAGGGTCTTAACCTATGCCTTACATTGCCCTGGAATTCATTATGTAGTTCTAGGCTGGCCTTGAACTCATGACAGTCGTATTACCTCATCCTCTGAAGTGCTGGGAATTTTTGTGTGAGCCACCACATCTGGCTAATATTTTGGCATTATAAAGTCAGGGGAAAGGAAAGTGGATTAACATGAGTCTTTCTATGATTTCGTTTCACACTATGATTTATACAAGAAAAGCTTTATCACAGTCATATAAAACACCAGAATGGAAACGCCCTGAAGAGTAGCCACCAGACATGTAAGACTAATCTCCATGTTTCTCTCTCAGTGGTCTGCAGCAGGAGCTGAGCTCAACCCTTAGTGAACAGAAGGCCGCTGCTCATCGAGGAGGGTCAGGATTAAATCAATCAGCTAGAATAGCCCTCAGGGAACCTGGAAAAAAGGTTACACTAGGGACAGTGTCCTTGCAAAGTGCAGAGAAGTCACATCCATCTCTCCGTTTAGAATTACACGGAGGTAACAAGAAGAGGAATAGCACTGATGGGATTAGGTTAGTTCAGTCTAAGGACTCAATGCCTAAGGGTTATTCTAACTTCTGGGTGTGCCTAATGTGCAGTTAAGGATTTGGGGACTTGGCTTTTAGGTCAATCCCTGATGACTCCTGTTTCAGCTAATATTCTAATGCAGTGTTACTTGTCCTACCGCTCTGACAGTCTCACAATGGAGGAGTCACCCAGGAGCATGCAGTTAGTCAAGTTGAGTTCCCTTATCCTCACACTGGCAGGACCATCAAGAAATTGCCTCAGGCCAATGTCACTAATCCTGTGGAAAAGAGAGAAAAGGGTCACATATATTTTCACATACAGACACACAGGCTGGAGGTAACATCAGTTTCTACACCAAATACATTCCAAAGTAGGAAATGTCTACATACTGGCATTTTGTCAAATTTTAAAAGATGATTGCATAGCTCTTAATAGGACAGAGAATGGATATATGATAGCAATAGGAGAATATTCATAAAATTTTATTTTTGTCCATTTGTATAATTAGGTGGCATGATTATCAATAACACAGATGATCTCTTCCTTCCAGTTTAAAATGTAGTAAGGTTAAGAAATCCCTGATAGGATCAGGCAAAGGCTAAGGCCAGATTTTAGAACAGTGAGAAGCAAGACTCAAGATCCTGGATGGATTCCACTGCGTTCAAAGTTACCTGGGTTGGATCAGAAACACAAGAGGTGACCTTTGGAACTCTAGACCAGAGAAAACTTGTATCTGGAAAAGACAGTAACTTCAGCCTGTCGTCATTAGAAGCACCTTCAGGGGCCACACCATCCCCCTGTGTTGTCACTCCAGCATTAACATCTAGAGGCACTGGACTCGTTGTCCTTGGTCTCCTAATAGGGCTTTACTTCTAATTCTGTCCGAAGACCAATAGTTCCATCTCTAGAAAGCCTTTCCACTAGTGATACAGGACAAGGGACTGTATCAGCTCAAACCAAAGAAGAGCATTCATGCACAGCCAGTCTACAGGAGGATGTGCAGGCCAGGAGAGTATTGACAGCCATCCAGGCTGGCTGTGCTATCCCTTCATGCCCAACATTTGGTCTCCCAAGAGCAGAGCAGAAAAGGCAGAAGGTGATTATCTCTGTTGCTGTAATAAAGCACCATGAGCCAAGCAGCTTCTGAGATGGAGGTATACTTGACTTACTGCTTCGGGTTACAGTCAGTCTTCGAGGCAGGTCAACTCAAAGTAACTAGTCACTTCACTTCCACAATCAAGAGCAGAGACAGCTTAAGGGATCCAGGCACCCAAACTGCCTTCTGGGCATCTTTTTCTCTGCTAGCTTTCTCCTTCATACTACTCAAGGCCTATCCTGGTTTCCTTTCTGTTGCAATGATAAAACACTGACCAAAACCAGCCTGGGGAGGAAAGGATTTACTACACCTTATAGTTTTGAGTCCATCATCAGAGGAATCTAGGACAAGAGTTCAGGCAGGATCCAAAGACAGAGAGTAAGCACCGACCTCAGGAGATGTTTATTCCCAGGCCCTAGACAGCTCAGGCCCACCCACTCAGAGACACCATCTCCTACAGTGGGCTAGGTGCTCCTACATCTAAAAGTAATCAAGACAGCCATGCCCACAGGTCACCCTGACAGGAGCAATTGCTCAATTGAGGGTTCTGTTAAATTAACAACAAAGATTAGCCATCACAGGACCCCCAAACCAGGGCATGGTGCTGCCCACATTCAGGGTGGGTCTACCCATGCCAATTAACAAATGCCCCCACAGGCCAACCTCACAGCTAGGTTGGAAGTTTTTTTCAGGTGATTCTAAGTTGTGACAAAGTTGACATTAAAAGCTATCATAACAGTATTCCAGCAAATGGACTACTTTGGTGATTCCCATGATGCATCCCACCCAGCCACCTACCTGTACCAGCAGCTAGGAAGGCAAGCCAGAGGCTTGTGAAGTGGGAAGTGAGACATGATAAAGAGCAAGGTCCAAACACAATCAACTTACCTATTAGCAAACATCAGACTGGAGTACAGTGAGTAATGTTTTCATTAATAAGAAAATAAAATATAGCACCCAAGCTGTAAGATTGAGAAGTGTATCTCTGGAGAAGATTTGTAAAAGAAAGCAGAGAAGCAACAGTCAAGGAAAGGGAGTGAGAATTCACAAAGAAAGAACCCTAAGCAAGGCAGTTTAGTGAACCAGGACTCTTAGTTTGAGACAGACTAACTTCTTCCCTGCACACAATGCACCTAGCAACCTCACAGCCCCCTCAAGCCCCACCCACACTGGGCTACTTATACACCTCTCTGTGAGAAACAGTGTAAGTCGCCCTTCTCCTAACAACAATCAAACCTAGACAGTTCCCATTCAAAAAGATTTCCAGGTATCTAGAATGATAAATAGGCTGAGCCAGCTCAACTGGTTTTGGGAACAAGAGCAACAAGACAAAATTATGTTTTCCAGTAAACTTTTAGGGAAAATCCTGTTTACTATCTTGGGCCTATGCATAATTGGGTGTGCATATGATTAAAATCAGGTGCTTGAGCAGGCAAAAGCAATTATATAATTAATCTATCAGTCAAAATAGAAAAGTTATCTACACAGTAAGACTTGGACCTCCCGTCTTTCCCAATCCCCATTAACATTGTGGAGAGGGCCTGGCTCATCCTTGATAATCTGTTTCTTGAACACTGAGTTGACACACCCTGAATGATTTCTTACCTTACGCAATTGGTCAAGTTCAACACGGTCAATTGCTTCAAAACAGAAAGTGACTTGAGGCTGCTGTCTGTTAGTGCCCTGCAGTCCACCATGTAGATATGATTGATACCTGGGTAATTCTTGTCTATATATTTGAAGCATGCATCAGTAATCCTTTTGTTTCCTGTTGAAAAGAAGAAAATACAAGTACTATATTTAAATGTCCAAGGAATAAAATTTAAAAATAAGTTTAAATCATGTTTTTAGCACAACAGACCTTCAAATCGGATCTTTTTGAGGTTACAGGAAGAAAGAGCTTTGAAAGCACAGTCAGAGATGTGTGGTGAGCCAATGAAAACCACGGTTGAAATACGGGGACACTTCTCAACCAGAACCTTCGGGAGAAGAAGAAACACAGACAGGCTAACTACTGTAAAGAACCAACAACAAGGGGGCGTTGTCATTTTCCACCCAAGGTCTTCAGAGACAGAGATGTTAACTATTACTTTTTCCTAATTTTGAAACAAATAGGACTGTTTTCATATTTTATGAAATCAATGTGTTCATATTTCAGTAACGCAGAGAAATAAAATTAAATCATGTTACAAGAGTATAGGAAAACATGAGGAAATGAAATGTTAAAAGTCAATTGGCAATTTGACATGGGGGGGGGATCAGATTTAAGCCAAGCAGAGCTGGGTCTGGGTCATACTTAGTTGGAAGAATTACAATTGTGCTTTGGCTATAGCATAAAGAATTTAAGCATTCAAACGGGTTTTGTTTGATTATTTGTGTTTTTTATGGGCATTGGTGTTTTACCTGCATGTGTATTTGTGTGAGGGTGTTGGGTCCCCTTGAAACTGGAGTTACAGACAGTTGGGAGCAACCATGTGCATGCTGGGAATTGAACCCATGTCCTCTGAAAGAACAGCCACTGCTCTTAACCAATGAGTGATGTCTCTGACCCCTCAAATGTTTTTAAGGTGCATGCGTGTGTGTACGCGAAATGACTTCCTACTTACTAATCAACTCAAATAAAAAGCCAATTCACATTTCTCAATCATTCTGGCCATTGTAAGTGTACTCATATAAATAAAGGAAAGGCTCATTCTCACTACCTACTTTTACACAGTTGTCAGTCAGGGTTGGCATGTCGTTGATGGTCAAGTGCATGATCCCTGTGCAGCTGTTTGCAATGTTCCTGAAGCCTTGCACTGAGATCTGAATTAAGAAGGTGAAATGCATGGGAAAATTAATCCATGGGGCCACTCGTAAAATGCAAGGAAGGGATCACCAAATGTAGCCATGGGATTTGTGCATGTTTTAAAGCTAAAACCATGTGCCAGAGAGACGGCTCAGTGAGTGACAGTGCTTGCTGCCAGCTGAACAATCTGGATCCAACCCAGAGCTCACCTGCCAGCACACAGAGCTAACTCCTGAGGTTGGAGTCTTTTTTAAAAATATTTATTTAATTTAGAAACAATCTTATTTTACATATCAATCCCAGTTCCCTCTCCCTTCCATCCTCTCATGCCCACCACCAACCCTCCCATCTCACACCCCATTCACTCCCCCAGGGAATGTGAGGCCTTCCATGGGGGATTATCAAAGTCTGCCACATCTTTTGGGGGAGGGCCTAGGCCCCCGATGTATCTAGATTGAGAGTATCCATCCACGTGGAATGAGCTCCCAAAATCCATTTGTGCACTATTCCATAGACTTCCCAGGCCTCCCAACTGTCACCCACATTCACAGGGCTTGGTTTGGTCCAACACTGGTTCCCCAGCTTTACACCTGAGCTCCCCCTTGTTCAGGTCAGCTGTTTCTGTGGGTTTCTCCAGCCTGGTCTTGACCCCTTTGCTCATCCCTTCTCCCTCACTACAACTGGATTCCAGGAATTCAGCTCAGTGCTTAGCTGTGGGTGTCTGCTTCTGCTTCCATCAGCTACTGGATGGATGCTCTAGGATGGCATTTAAGGTAGTTATCAATCTCATTATAGGGTAAGGGCATTTAAGGTAGCCTTTCCACTATTCTTAGATTCTTAGTTGGGGTCATCCTTGTAGATCACTGAACATTTCTCTAGTGCCAGATTTCTCTTTAAACCTGTAACAGATCCTTCTATTATGGTATCTCTTTTCTTGCTCTCCTCTATTCTTCCCCTGACTCAGTCTTTCTGATTCCTCATATTCTCCTCTGTTTCCTACCTCCATCCCCTTTTGCCCCCAATTTGCTCAGGAGCTCCTCTTTTCCCTTTTCTCTTCTCTGGGGGGGCATGCATATCTCTCTTAGGGTCCTTCTTGTTTCCTAGTTTTTCTGGAGGTGTTGATTGTAGGCTAATTATCCTTAGCTCTATGTCTAGTATCCACTTATGAGTGAGTACATACAATGTTTTTCTTTCTGGTCTGGGTTACCTCACTCAGTATGGTTTCTTCTAGTTCCATCTATTTGCCTGCAAACTTCAAGATTTCATTTTTTCTTTGTTTGTTTGTTTGTTGTTTGTTTTTTTCTGTGAGTAGTACTCCATAGTGTAAATGTACCACATTTTCTCCATTCATTCTTTGGTTGAGGGGCAGCTAGGTTGCTTCCAGGTTCTGGCTATTACAAATCATGCTGCTATGAACATAGTTAAACAGATATCCTTGTTGTATGAATGTGCATCCTTTGGGTATATGCCTAAGAGTGGAATTGCTGAATCTTGTGGTAGACTGATTCCCATTTTCCTGAGAAACTGCCATACTGATTTCTAAAATGGCCACACAAGTTTGCATCCCCACTAGCAGTGGAGGAGTGTTCCCCTTTCTCCATATCCTCTCCAGCAAAAACTAGCATTGGTGTTTTTGATTTTAGCCATTCTGACAGGTTTAAGATGGTATCTCAGAGTTATTTTGATTTGCATTTCCCAGATGCCTAAGGATGTTGAGCACTTTCTTAAGTGTCTTCCAGTCATTTTAGGTTCCTCCATTGAGAATTCTCTATTTAGTTCTGTACCCCACTTTTTAATTGGATTATTTGGTGTTTTGGTAACTAGCTTGAGTTCTTTGTATATTTTGGAGATCAGCCCTCTGTCAGATGTGGGGTTGGTGAAGATCTTTTCCCATTCTGTTTTGTCTTGTTGACTGTGTCCTCTGCCTTACAGAAGCTTCTGCATTTCAGGAGGTCCCATTTATTAATTGTACATTCTCACCAGCACTCTATTTTCTACTACTCTATTTGGAAGGTTGCAGTTTTTCTTTGTCAACACTCACATCCTATCTTTTCAAGTTTTCAAGTAGGAGGTAGAGAGATGGGTCAGTGGTTGAAATCACCAGCTGCCCTGGCAGGGGCCTGGGTTCTATTCTCAGCACCCCATGGCAGCTCACAACCATCTGCAACCCCAGTTCCAGGGAATCCCATGCCTTGTTCTGACCTCCAAATGGCCATAGGTGCTGTAAGGACATGGAGGCAAAAGTCATGCATAAATAAAAAAAAATTAAAATAAGCAGGACAGGGGTGGCACACCTCTTTAATCCCAGCACTCAGGAGGCAGAAACAGAGGCAGGTGAATCTCTGTTAGAGGCTAGCCTGGTCTACAGAGTGAGTTCCAGGACAGACTCCAAAGCACTACAGAGAAACCCTGTCTTGAAAAACCTAAAACAACAACAAAACCCTATTGATGAGTGGGTATGCACCCTAAAGATTTAAAGTAGAGCTGATTATTTTTCATATATAAAAGTTTAGGTTTATGATTCTTTTAATATTCCTTATAAGCTTACCTTTCAATTAGTAAAGTGATTGATTCCTTCTTTGTAACTGCAATATGCATCCTTACAACAAAAGAACTGGCTGAGAAAAAAATAACTTGCTTGCTCACACTTGTTAATCTGTAACAAGTTACTTAGATGTGAATGTTTGTGGGTTCTGGGGATGACTCCTTTTAATCATGAAAGGGGAATGGGAAACATGTATTCATTATAATCATTCACTTGAAAAAGACAACATAACCACATTTTGATTTTTATATTGCTTGTAAGACTCTACTGGAATATATAAGCTATAAGGGAAAAAATAAAGTCAGAAGGAAAACAACAAGAATGAGAGAGAGACAACTCCAGGAAAGATGTAAAGAAAAAAATAACAACACAGAATAAAGAACAGGCCAGAAGGAAACCATCAGGAGCGATCAGGAGAGCGTGTTTGTCTTTTCCTTTACTCCCTCATTAGTGCTCCCACTGTGTGGCCCCACTTTCAGCTGGTGGCTGGTCCTCACCGAAGCAGTAGGCAACACTGCTTTGATGGAGGCAGCTCTGTCCATGGTAGTAGAAAGGGACACGAATCTGTGTTTTGGGGTGTTACCCTGGTCTTCAGGGTCCAGAAACTTGGCCCCTTCACTGAGCCCTACCAATCACTCAGACACCAGGACTGGCCACCACCTCCAATAACAGAAGCCTGTATAGGTTAGGAAGTTTGGCACATACATGGCATATACTCACACAGACACATAACACTCACACACATACTTTTTTAAATAAAAATACTTCTTTAAAAAATCAATTGGCCATAAACGTATGGACTCCAGGATCCTGTTTTATTGGCTAACATCTGTCTATTTTGTAGTGTAGCTGGAGGTTTCTCATCCCACCTGCTAGTTCAGAAATAAACACTCTGACTTAATATTAATGATACTTGTCTGGCCAATGGTTCAGGCATATTACTGACTAGCTCTCACAGTTAAATTAATCCATTTCTATTGTTCTATATTTTACCACAAGGTTCATGGCTTGTTACCCCACATCTCGCTTCCATAGAGGCTACATGGCATCTTCCTTACTCCACCTTATAATATGAACCTTTAGTCTGTAAGCTATATAGGTTATTAAGAATTACAGGCTATAGTCACCTGTGTTTGCCATACTTGTGTTAGTTAGGTTCTATAAATGCACAGAGATGTATTTTGTATAAATAGGTAATCTCCAAACGCTTCAAGGACCTACAGAATATGGTATTTAAATGTTTTAATAATTTAGAATTCTGTTGATGTGAGACACAACTGTTTCTAGCCGCACCAATCTACTCCCAAGAGGATGATGAGCACTAAAATCACTCCATTTGGAGCTTGTTTTCTTCTTGGCAAAACTGGCCTATTGGGCAAACAACTACTGACAGTATGCATGCTGTCTAAACTGGACAAACAAGATGCAAGGAAAAGCGACTAATGAACTTTGTCAAGACAGAGTAGGGCAGTCTTTCAAATTTTCCTGCTTCTGCAATACACCTACAACACCATGTAATATCATAAGCTAATTTATGATTAGTTATTGAACTAATTCTATTCTGGCAGGCCACCTATGGCATCAGATAGATAGATAATCAAGTGGTATTACTATATGAGCAGACAATAGAATATATGAATAAATGCAGAGAGCACTCTTTGATAAATGCTCCTAAGCAGCAAATTTTGGCAATGCCAAAACCTATGTGTTGTGGGATATTTGTACACTGTGTGAAGACTCATTTGCTGTGATTGTTGTAATAAAAAGCCAAACGGCCATTAGCTAGGCAGGAGGTATATGTGGGACTTCCAGAAAGAGAAAGGAAGAGGAGATGGCACACTGGAGATGCCAATGGGACTATAAGTCAGACATACGGTATAGATTATAGGTAACTGAGCCACATGACAGAACACAGATTAAAATAAATGACTAATTTAAGATAAAAGAGCTAATGGGAGAAGCCCAAGATAAGGCCAAGTTTTCACAATTTAATAAGTACCTGTGTTGTTATTTGGGAGCTGGCTGGTGGGACAGAAGAGGACTCATTACTGCATGGAAACCTGGAACCCAGGGGCTGAATGCAGAGAACTGAGTTGCTGTAGAAGCCATGAGTTGGGCATGAGTATGTTTTATAATCTTCCCAAGGAACCTTTCTCATTGAGCCCAGGGTGGCTTTGGACTTACTTTATAGCTGGTGATTTTGAACTTCTGATCCTTTAGCACCCCATTCTGAGTGCTGAGTCTGGCTGTTCTTCCAGAAGAACTGGGGTTCAATTTCCAAACACCCACATGATAGCTCACAACTGTCTATAACTCCAAGATTTGACACTCTCACCAACATACATGCAGGCAAAACACCATTGCACATAAAATAAAAATAAATAATTTAAAAATAAAAATGTTTTAAAAATTACTATATTTAATAAAAGGAATTCTTCTTGAAAAAAATTATCCTAATGAAAGACTTCCATGCTAAGATTTCTGTACTTACAAGGATATAGTTATTTATGATGGATTCTCAGAAAGGTCCTAGGTATCTTGCCATGGTGTGAACATCAGAGAGTATTTTTACATAAATTAAGATGTAGCTGGGTGTTTGTTTTTTATCCTTTGGGGGCCTGCCACCCAGCTCCCAAACAAATACATGGAGAGTTATTTTTACTTATGAATGTTTGGCCTTAGCTTAGCTTGGCTTGTTTCTATTCAGCTTTTCTAACTTAACTAATTATCCCATTTCTCTTTAATTATGTTTTTCCTCTGGGCGTTTTATCTTTATTTTGTATATCTTTCTTTCCTTCTTACTCCGTGGCTGGCCCCTTGTGTCTTCCTCTCTTTTTCTTGATCCTCAGTCTTCTTTCCTAATGTCTCTTCTATTTATTCTCTTGGCCCACCAGCCATGCCTTTCCCTCTCTCTTACCTAGTTATTGGACATCCAGCTCTTTATTAAACCAATTAGGTTTTTTAGACAGACAAAGTAACACAACTTCACAAAGTTAAACAGATGCAACATGAAAGAATGCAACACATCTTTGTATCACCAAACAAATATTCCACAGCATAAATGAATGTAACACATCTTAAACCAATATTCTACAACACTGAGATATCTACAACATTATTAGGCAATTATAACTTTGTATGTTCACTGTCTTCCATGTAGTCTTCTGATGACCAAAACAAGTACTATATTTATTACAGATTATATAACAGTGAGGAATTGACAAACTAAGATATCAGTAATTAAAATGGATTAACTAAAATGCTAACTCATGGAATACAATAAAATTAATAAACTATCTTAGAAAAATAACTGAGATGATGGAATAGCTCAAATGGTTGGCTATAGAAAGCTTTCCTATTAAAAATCTGGTGCACAGGGAGCAAGATCAGTACCTCCTGGAAGCATATTGGAAGTATAGATCCACTTAGAACCTGGAGCTGGACAAATTCCAAACTCTCCAGGTCATTCCCAAGTACATAATTGTCAGAGAAATGAGTAGTACCAAGATGTGTTAGTTCTCCTGAGAAACTACGGCGATGTCTATCTATCCAAATCTACCTCTAAAGAGAAAGATACTTATTTTAAGAAATCAGATCATGCCTGGTGTAGTGGCATGTGCCTTTAATCCCAGTACTCAGGAGGAAGAGGCAAGCAGATCTCTGTGAGTTCAAGGCCAGCCTGATCTCTATATTGACTTATATGAAAGCCAGGGCTGGAATATAGTGGTCCAATTTTGTTGTTGTTGTTTGCTTGTTTTTTTTTAAAGGAAAAGAAATTAGGTCACATCATTCTAAGGGCTGGCTACTCTGGAATCTATAAACCAAAGCCAGGAAGAGTGTATAGTATGATATTGAATCAGAAATCAAGAAAGGCCTTTAAGCAGAATTCTGTTTGCTAGGGCAAAGCCTGATCTTCCTCCAGAGGCAGACTTTACTATCCAAGGTTCACCCACACAAGGAAAGGTAACCCATGTGTAAAGCGGCACAGTCTGGATGCTGCCAAGGTAGGTGGAGTGGGGGGGATGGGGAGTGGGGAGGGTTCTGTCTGTTGCCTTAAACATGGCAGGAAGCGAGGGAGTGCTGGCCTTGGCTCCAGTGGCAAGAAACTAAGTAGATAAAAGGGGAGGAAAAGCCCTAAAGCAAGAAGGAGGCATTTTGTATTGTTGCCAAAGATTCCTGGGGGAATTTTTCATGACTTCTTCCAGAAAAAAAAAAAATCCAGGGGAGATGAATGAATGTGTAAATTACACAAGAGGACAGAGGGGGAAAGAATGATTCTGGGCTTGGGAGTCAGCAAAGCTGGGCTCTCTGGCGCTGCTGTCTCACATGGCTGGGTCTACAGGAGTGTGGCTCACACAGTGCCCAGTCACGTACCATCACAGTCTTGTTAGTTGGTCTTCTGGGCACTAGTTATCCCCATAGGAAACAGAGGACTCAAGAACCAGAGGAGGGACCTTGAAACTCCTCACAGTGCAAACACAAAAAAGGCGTGGTGTTTCAGAGACAGGGTTCCTATGCATTCCTCACAGCTGTCTCCAGTGCTGGAGTGTCTGGTACAGGCTGGATGAGCCAGAGGAGTAAGTGAATGAGAGTTCTTCAGAAGATGGTCAGTGGAAGAGCCTGGTATACAACCCACAGGCCACAACTGCTGTTTTTTTACACTGGGAGTCCTTTATCTCAGCTCCCAGCACTATTCTCTCAAGTACTCGCTGCTGCAGAGTAGCTTGCAAGTAAACAATCTTGTCTTGGAAACACATTTGTGATGAGATCTCTCAAAAGTGGGAGAAAGTAACAGAGCAACAGCACCAGCCAGGGAATCCCTTGTAATATAGACAGAAACTTGCTGCCTTCCACCCAAGGGTTAATCACTAGAGAAGGGGGTGAGGAGGAAACACCCCCTCAACCTCCTATATCCCTACACCTCCACACATCCCCACACCCCCACACACCCCCACACACATACCCTACAACCCCATACACACCACACACACACACACACCCCACACACACCACCCACCCCTCCACCCCCCACCACACACACACATACACTACACACACACCCCACCCACAAACACCTCCAACCCCCCTACCCACACCCATACCACACACACACACCCCTCCCACACCCCACACCCCACCCACCCCACCCACACCATACACACACACCACACACACACACACACACACATACACTACACACACACCCCACCCACAAACACCTCCAACCCCCCTACCCACACCCATACCACACACACACCCCTCTCACACCCCACCCCCCCACACCCCACCCACACCATACACCCCACACACAAACACCACACACACACACACACATGCCACACACACACCAGGATATGGTTTTAGCTTTGTCCTGGCACCAGGCACTTGGTTCTCCACAAAGTTTATATTACAATATCCAAAAAGATGCTTGGCTAATATTTTATGGCTCAAACATTTCTGCCAGGATCTTTTAGGCCAAGGAACTATTAGTTATATTCTCTTCACTGAAATAATGGGGGTATAAGTTCCAAACTGGAATTGTTTTCTGTAAAATAAGGAGAAAATAGAAAATACTTTACTATGTTCAAATCTGCAGCTTCCTCACAACTAAAACCTGTCTTCTGTGTAGGAATCTGGGATTTGGTGGTGCCTCCCCTTTGCCTCCATACCCTTTGCTGGTTGGGAAGCTAGGGAAACTGGCCTCACCAGCGAGCTTC